ACACTGAGGAGTAGTAAGTAATCAATTATATTAAAGTAGATTTAACTTAAAAAGAAAGAAAGGGAAAATGTACAATTATACACAGGAGTATAACTCAGTGTATATACATATAATAAAATAATTAAACGGGAAAAATCTGAAAGAGTGAAAACAAATATATCAGAACTGAATAGAAAAAAAGAATATAACAAAATACAATGTAGTACACAAAAAGACAAATATGCATGAAAAACGTGTGCATAACAATGCTGGGGTATAAAATAAGTATGGTGTGTATCAAAATATTATAAAGTTTAAATAGAATTAAAAACAAATAATATCTAAATCTCTTTGTAGACTTGATATAAAGTTGAACTGCTTCAATTGAAGAATTAGTTTATCAGTAATTGCCTATCACCAAACGGCAAGATATGCAATAATTTGTCAGAAGAGAGATTTTCTTATTCTGTAATATCCTGAAAAGATTCTGAATCAGTAATGTTCTATGTTCATTATAGGTAACTAAGACAACCCGATAAGTGATAATTATCCTCACTTATATATCCATATTTATTACATGATGTAGTCTCACTTAGTTGACGACGTAAGATATTTTCCTACGGCTACCAAAATAAAAAAAAAACTTGACACTTTTTATTCTTTAGCTAGGTTTCCTAAGTACATTTTTGAAAGTTGAGAAAGAATAAATACATGTTGTTATTTGTTATTCCATTACTGAATAGTAGAAGGCTGAAAGCTGTTGAAATATGAGACTATTTTTGACTGAGGTGTGACAAAAAAGATACATGTAGGACAATTTCTTGCAGATAAAGATGAGATATGCATGAGTACATTATTTTGTGAAATATTTTTTTTTTTTTACGAATTTTTAATTCGTTATATCAATTTGTTTGATTCGTCATAAACTGACTTAATATATAATTTAATGTAGCAAATTTTTGAATTCGTTATAATGAAATTAAAAAAAAAATATTGTTAGATTCACGAATTAAGTTAAGGAATTCAAGAAATTGCTATAACGAATTAAATTCGTCATAACAAATTCTACAATTCGTTATATCGAATTTGAAAACATTTTTTGATAGGTTCTAAATGGGCTTCGTAGTACTGGTTCTAAAGAATTCACAAAATTACATTCGTTCTAACGAATTCAATACATTTGATATAACAGATTAATATTAACTCGTTATAACAAATTCCAAAAAAAAAATTACAACACGTTAAATTCGTTATAACGAATTCAAAAAAAAAATGTTATCACGAATTTATTTCGTTAAACGAATTCAAGAATATGCTTTAAACCTTAAATTGGTTCTAAAGAATTCAACAAATTTGTCCTAACAGCTTAAATTCGTTCTAAAGAATTCAATAAATTTCTTAAAACAGATTAATATAGAATCATTACAACGAATTACAAAAAAAACTGTTTCAACATTTCAAATTCGTTTTAACGAATTCAACAAATTGATATAACGAATTCAAAATTATTTTTGTAGGTCCTAAATGGGGTTCTACGGAAGCCCATTTAGGACCTATCAAAAAATATTTTCGAATTGTAGAATGTGTTATAACGAATTAAATTCGTAATAACGATTTCTTTGAATTCGTTATATCGAATCCCACTGTGGGACGTGGAGACCGGTCCTTCGGATGAGACCGTATAAACCGAGGTCCCGTGTCGCAGTAGGTGCTGGCACGAAAAAGATCCCTCACTGCTCAATGGCCGTAAGTGCCGAGTATAGGACAAAATTTGCAGCTCTCCACCGGCAAGTGGTGGTGTCTCCATATGAGTGAAAAATTCTCGAGAGGGACGTTAAACAACATACAAACAAACAAACAAACTTTTGAATTCGTTATAACGAATTCAACAAATTTGTTATAACAGATTAAATTCATTATAACGAATTAAAAGAAACTGTTATAACGAATTAAATTCGTAATAACAAATTCGACAATTCGTTATATCGAATTCAAAAATATTTTTGATAGGTCCTAAATGGGCTTCCGTAGAGTTCCGCAAGATGACCATTACTTTTAAAATTATATGAGGTCAAAGATCAAATTATTGATAATATTATGTTGTCTGATCTCAATATAATTTGATTATTGACGTCATATAATTTTAATACCAGCTGAATAAGGGCACCAAAAGTAAACTGAGTGTATAAATAGTTTAAAGTTCTTGTCATTCAGATTTTTGTAGTGGGTAAAAATTAGAAAATTGACAGAGGAAATTTGGACTGTAATAATTAACAAGTTTATGGCTCAAACTCTTATTGTATTATTATTGTTAATTTTTATTTTATTTTAATTTTTTGTTTTGTTTTGTTTTGTTTATTTGTTTTGTTTTGTTTCTTTTGTTGTTGTTGTTTTTTTTTTTTTAATGTTTTTGTTTGTTTGTTTGTTTTTTTTTCATATAGAATTTAAGTCAGTCTCATATGTCAGCGTCCAACTAAAATGGCGCCCCCTCTAATCACAGTCATTTTTATCTTTGTTTTTCGGAATAATTCATCAGTTTCTCCACAGAAATGAAAATGCTGGAAAAATCAAGATCAGATCAGATCTATAGTTTATGCATGTCTACATTTCAGTGAGCCTAATGAAGTTGTATTCGTCTGCTAAGATTGAGTCCAATAGTATTTCTTCATTAAGTTCACGATCCCCAGATAAACAGAGCATAAATTCGTCTTTGTTTCTCATCATGTGCTGCCTTTGGCGAAGTGTATAAAACATGAATAGCTGGAAAATATTGTATCCAATCAAAAACATAAGAATGCTTTTTTAACAAATATTTTGCCTATACTTTTAATGGTTTTGTATCTCTTTCGTTTTACCGTCGACTGCATTAAGCCACACAACAACATTATAAAGCATATTTCAAATAAAGGAAAAATGCCTTTTAAATTAGTATTTTTTATTTCATTGATTTAATTAAATTATTATTAACTATGTCCACATCTCATACAGACGTATTTATTTGTTTGTATAACATCACAAGATTTCGAAATACAAAGTGTGAGATTGAAAAAAAAAATGCAATGACATATCTATATTGGTTATATATGCAAACGAGGGATTCTTGTAGGTTTCTGAATAATTAAAGTACAGACTACTGAAGTATATTTTCATAAATTTCCTTTGTGTTGATATATAAGGTCATGTAGGGAATTTATAAGATTTTTTTTTCTTCTTACAACAAAGAAATGCTACATTGAATTTAAAATCCGACGGGAACTAAATTTTTGGCGGAACAACCATGTAGATAACTTAGATAAATGACTGATTCCTTTATAAAATTGTCACGCCACCTTGATTCAGTACTTTCAGTACTATGATTTATGTTGCTTCCAATGTGTGGTTGGCGAACTGAAAAAAAGATTCATCGAGTTCAATGCAAGTCAAAATATTGTTCTAAATTCATGTTATTATCGTTAGCAATTTAATCAGCCCTTTCGAAACTTGGGAGGGGCGCATTCGAATCCTGTTGCTAGTACATGTTATACAATGGGAACCGATGCTAATTCATAGTCGTGTCCCATTAATAATAGTTTCTTTCTTGAGGGGGGGGGGGGGGAGTTGAAGTACTAGTAATTTCTGACCCCCCTGAAAAATTCTACATGCCTGATAAAATTTCTGTATGAAATAAATAAGCAAAAAGTCGACATATTAAATATTTACAAATTTGGTGAAGAATGAATCATTATGCTCATGCCCGTAGGTACCGGTGGTGGGGTGTTCAAAGATGATAATACTACATTAGAAAACAAAACAATTTTACTGTAGTGCCCCCTCGAAAAAAATGTCTTATTACTTTTATTTTTGGCCTGACAAGAATTTCGGTTAGCCCCCCCCCCCCTTCTCAACTGAATAAGCTTTCTACGGGCCTGATGCTATGTCAAAAATTATCAACGCGGAACGAAATGCAAACTTGATGTGTAACTCATCAAAATAGACTTGCATACAAAACATCAGCTAATTACTAGTATATGGAACCATCTAGTAAAAATACCCAGAAAACCAAGTGGTGCAGACAAACTGAGAGGAAACCTGAGGTCGGTTTCATCGGCTGGGGACTAATAACCAGTCTGATAATGGGTGAGCATATCTTTAATGTTATGTAGTTTTCTTTTAAGGGTTACATACAAAAAAGTGGAATGTAAATATTTAGCATTGTAATTTATGACACAGTAAAATTCAAAAAAAATATCAAAATGTTTTTATGTACAATGTAGTTACAAGAAGACACTGGCACTGGAAGTTAATGTAATTTTTGAGTAAAAGGAAGGGTAGGATACTCTTTTTGAGGCAAATTCGGGGTTGGGGTATTGTGGATGTTTTTTAAACGACCTGACGCGATTAATCGTTTCTATATACTTTACTTTAAAATGTATATATATATATCTTGTCTCGTTCCGCTCCAAAGCATTTTACTTGAAGAAATAGACCTTTTTTACACCTCCAAGTGCCTAACAATTTTGCTAGACTGCTCCACTTCCGGTTACAATCATGAGTGAATTTAAAGCTAAATTCTGATTGGTCTTCATACATGTACATGTGAAAAATAATTCTTGAAATACAACAATGCGATTTGGAATTTTTTTTCAATTGAGCCATCTCCTACTGGATTTACGAGTCGGTGAATTTTCTTTGGACGATGTTTTACTTTTGATTTTAATTTTTATGCGCGATTCGTACGACAGAGACAGGAAATACCAGTCTAAAGTTTCTACAGTCCTCAAAAAGAGTGACCTACCCTTCCATTTATATACATGCACATACTCAATAATACTCTTGCAAGAGAATGGTCACCTGGTGAATATAATACATGTATTTTAATTATGCAATATTGTAATAAATTTTTTTTTATGAAAAATATTTTATCAAAATTACTGCAATTTTAGATCCGAATAGATCACAACAAACATCAATGTTAAACTCTGAGAGTTTTTCACTAGCATCAATGTTTAAAGTAAACGTAACGTTTTAATCAATCACATGTGTCAATCAAAGGACGCATTGTTCACGCGACAGAATTTAGCCATAGCATTGTTGACTTCCGGTATTCGAAATGCGTAGAGAATGGGGTTAATGGCGGATCCCAAGCAAGCGATATAAATAACTACATGGTGCCATGAGACGGAGGTCCGCTCTAAGTTGCCGAAGATCTCCATCATAAGCATGGATATAAGGGGTCCGACGCAAAGAAGATGGCTGCCGATGATAAATCCCATTGTCTGAATGGCCTTATTTTGTCGACTGTCATTTTTGAATTGCTGACTGGCCTCTGTACCATTCCTTGAGATATCTTGCTGTGACTTCATGGACGGCATAGACTTTGCTTTCGAAGAATTGTCAAGTGTTGATATTCTGCTCGATACAGCGCTTATATCCGAAGTGCGATTCCGGACTGGATTTAACCGTTTTCTTTTGTTTAAGATGAAACCAATAATAAGACCGTAAAAAACAGTTATACAGGAAATTACTGCAATATGAGTGCAGACCTGGTATCCGAAGGCCTCGTTATAATAGTCCCCAAAAACATTAGCTATCGAACACACCGACGAGTTCTCATCCCGCCACAGAACAAATGGGATGAACTCTATCAAAAAGGCAGCCACCCAGGTCCCGAATAGGAGAAAAAGGCATCGAGGGAATAGCTGTTTACGTGTTTGGGTTTTGTTGAAGTAGATAATCCACCATCTGTCTAAACAAATAACGCAGACGTGAAGCAGCGAAGCCATATACGCAATCATGAAAACTGCGCACCGTACGCTACAGTCAAAGTCTGACTGCTGACCTAGGAAATACGTGATTTGTGTCGGGAGGAGGGAAACTCCAACCATAAAATCACTGACGATCAGACTCATTATCTGGACGTTGAACGGGTTTTTATTTATCTTTTTAAACCCAAGTCTAAGAACCAGTGCCACCACGAATACATTGAGGAAGATGATTGATGTGGCGGTGAAAATGAAGAAGACGAGATCAAGAACGATAACGTTTTCTTTGGGTGATAAAGTGATGTTGTGGTATCCATAGTCATCTAGCTGGAACTCTGTCTGGTCGTGAACAGGCATATCCCTCAAGGCTTAAGACAGGAAACCGGGAATCTATTGAAGTTCCTGTCGTCTGCTCAGTAGCTCTCCAGATTTATAAGAAGCTGAATCATCAGACGCATCCAGAATAAAGTCAAAATGATGGAAGCTATAATAATCTTCACAAGAACTGGAGTTGACATCCTTAAATAAGATAAAACATTTAAATATAATATTTGTTACCAAAAGAAATTTAACGAATTTTATACAATTGTTTTAAATTTTCAACAATTTTGTAATCATTTTGAAATAAGATTTACAATAAAATTAAACCGCAAACATAACAAAAAATATACCAGCTTCTTAAATGGTTGAATGCATGTTGATCCCTGCTGCTTTTATTTCAGCTATTTCATGTATCAAAAAGCAAGAATTGTCTATTTTAGCATTTTCAAAAAAAATCACCGGCATGTCGACCGCCTACAGAATGTTATTTTATAAAAAGTACGTGATTTAGATTATATTTACCTTGCCTGTTTTGCTCCTTGATATGGAAAAATATTTTACCAAGTACCGTTTGAATTCTTTGGATGGCCATTGACGAATTGGCAATTATCGAAACGGAAAAGGTGCAAATCTGATAATCGTTGATAATGGCTCAAATGAGGTGCAAATTCTTCTGTATATCCAGAAGTGTGATCTATTAAGGTAAATGCCTAATGTAAAACTTACAAAAGCTCATCACATTTCGTATTGGTGAAATATTTCGGTTTTTTCTGGGTTTATTCTTTTATTGGATAATCTTGAATCCTGAATACTTTTTTTCAAAAATAGATTTCCAATTTCATAATTAAACGTACTTTATTTCCGATTGAGCGGTTGAGGGGGATTGGAAGTATTCTAAATTCCTCTTTTTTTTCTATTTTTTTTTTCTTTTTTTGATTGGAAACAAAACTTTCAATTTTCTTGTGAGAAATATTTGAGAAGCATACGTATATTTGAAACGATTTCTTACTTCTTCCTTTTCGAATTCTTTTGACGCGAAGGGGTTTTATTATTAGAATTAGCATACCCAATTTACCAATAAGTGGAACTAACCAATCAGAGAGGAATTGGTTTCTGTTACCTCATGTTCGCTAGACTAGTCAAGATCTTCTCTATGTCGGGGAGGAAAACACATCCATTTCTATTTTCAACCCGAGATAGGGCCTTCATTAAACAGTATTAGTAAAGACTTGTGATATAATAAATGAAGTAATAATATAATCTTCTTGTGTCCAAATACTTTTAAGGATTTGCTCTGCATACCAAATAAAAATGCTTAGGAAGAGGGGGTTGCAGTTCTTATGTTATTTTCCCTAAAGGTGTAGCAGATAATAAGAACAGTTTTAAGTAACGGAAAACGGTGCTCAATTTTTTTTCAGATACAGCACAATGTAGAACGATATTTGGAAACTGCATATCGACTTTTTATTTGTTACTTTATGAAGTGTAAATTAGTCACACAGCAAAATATGTCAGATTGTGTGGGTTTTTTTTTAAATAGGGCTTTCCCAGTGTTCTAAAAATTGACTCCTGGATAAAAAGTTGATGTACACATATAAAGAGGTAGGGATTTTTTTTTTTTCAAAACTGCCATTTTCGATTTGGTTTCAAAGAGGCATATCTTTAAAAAAAAAACAAACATAAAAATTGAGTAAGAATTATTATCCATCTGAAATACAAAAAGTCTACAAAAATCACACTTTCTCTGATTGTGTTGGAATTAGTCTAGTGGTTAAGCATGCAGGTGGGCTGCTGGAGTACTCTTCTACCTGATAATGGGTTCGAATCCTGGAATTGCTTTTTTGGATTTTTTTTTTTCATATATAATTAAAGTGCAATGAAATATCTCTTTTAAGAGAGAGAGGATAATGTCAATAAGAAGTTAGAAGTCGCTTTTAATGAGTAATATTTAAGATACACGTAGATTTAATTTGTTTTCCTCAATACTGTGATCTTAAACTAATAAGACATAATGATATTACTTAGTTGAGTGGCGATGTAATGGAAAAGAAAAGATTGTTTTAAACAATTTAATTTTTACATACTTTTTCGGTTCATTTTTGTTCTGTTAAGTAGTGGGTGAGATCTGGATTGAGACAATTGGAACGACTCGATTAATTGTCTTGGATGTAGCATCAATAGCGTGATTATGGGACAAGGTTCTATTTATTGAAAAATAATCACGCCTTTTTATAGTACATCTTTCAAAATGCTGTGCAAGAATCAATACTATATAATACATTATTTGTGGCTTCTTCCCTTCTTCCCCAAATATGAAAGTGAAGCAAACACCCGCGTGCGGGTATTAATGTCTTTTGACAGTATCTGGTTTATAATTTGTAAAGTTGTTTATGTACTGGTATCAGAAAGCAGTCAATATTCTTTACCTAGTTGCCTCAAAATTTCTACAAATTGAGTACGAGTTCCTCAATTGATCTTAAGATCATTCACATTATTTTTTTATTCTATTTTATTGGGTGACTTATTGTATACACTGTATATCGTTTTCTATATAGAGATTGCATAGTCATTGTAGAGCCATTTGAAAATTGTCAGAGAATTTCCAGAATTTATTAAGTCATCCTTATATAGACAAAGGGTTTTAATCGAATATGAAAAAAATCTATTCTAATTTTGTCAAACATCTAAAACGGTTAGGTATCAGGTGGAAATTGTGAAATTCATAGTCCCTGGATCAGAGTTCTGGCTTTAGGGAGGGATTCCGTTTGTTCTTTTTCTCTTGTTTATTTTCTATTATTATGTATATCATTATTTACAGTTCCATTTATCCTTTACAAGATTGTGTTATACTCAGGTGATCTTGAGCTTTTTGTTTTATTTTTTAGTTTAAGGTGTTTATTTTATAATACTCTGAATTAAAAAAAATGATTTCGTTCACTTTTGATTTCTCTTTTGGAACAGCTACATGTATGTCCATAGGTTTAATGTTAAAGAGGTACCAAAGTTCATAACATACATAACATAACATACATATATAAATTGGAACACTACTTCGTAGAGGTTTTGGAGAACAAAATTTAACTTTTAAACACCATTAAAATAATTTTCATTTTGAGAACTATTCATTTTTTTATGAAGCAAAAAACATGGACGAAAAAAAATGAACGTTTCGATTTTTCTCATTCGTAGAGCCTCGAAAATCTATTTTATTTTTCTTATGATTTATACAAATTTATAATCACTTTGCAGTTTGATACCATTCTGCACAGTGGTAAATTTAAAATTTTCTTCCTAATTTACTATAAGGGGTTCTGGTTTTAGGGAGGTATTCTATTTATTCTTTTTCTCTTGTTTATTTTGTATTATTATATCATTATTTCATTATTTGCCATTCCATTGATCCTTTAAAAGATTGTGTTATTCTCATGTGATCTTGGGCTTTTTGTTTTATTTTTTAGTCTTAAGGCGTTATTGTGGCCAAATGAATTGCATTATAATACTTTGAAATAAAAGAAAGGATTTCGTTCAATTTTGATTTCTCTTTTAGGACAGCTACGTCTATATAGGTTTAATGTTAAATAGGTATAGTACCAAGGTTCAAACATTAATTGGAACACTACTTGGTAGAGGTTTTGGAAAACAAAATTGGTGTTTAATACCATTAAAATAATTTTCATTTTGAAAACTATTCAAGTTTTATGAAGCAAAAAACAATGGCGAAAAAATGAACGTTTCGGTTTTTCTCATTCGTAGAGCCAGATATTTGTTATCTACTCTGTTTTTCTTATAATTGATACAACTTTATAATCACTTTGCAGTTTGATTCCATTCTGCACAGTGAAAAAATTTTCTTCCTAATTTACTATCCGAATGGCTAGAATTAAAATAGCTTCGAAAATTTTGTTTCCTATAAATTCTGCACATATTCAGAATATACATGTAGCTTTGGCAAATAATTATAAGAGACCATATTCAACAGAAAAACAAATACATGTACAACGGACTGCTTGAGAGAACTTCTTAAATAAGTTTGATGATTTGACGAAATTTACCATATAAAAAGTAATGCATGTTATTTGTGTGTGTGTGATGTATAGATGATTAAGAGCTATATTAAAAACGAGGTGTATCTGTAAAATAATCAACCCACTCAAAGATGTGACACAATGTTACAATGTCCACGTAAGAAAGTTGTAATACATGTAATACATGTCAAAGAACAACATTATAACACACTGGAATGCTGTTTTCCTATTTATAACGATAATCGCTGATGGTCTGATTAAAACGTCACATTTTCACTGCGAGGGGCAATTCTCTCAGACCAGCTTTTCACACCCTGAAGGCCAGGGGCCTTCTGTGTTAGGTATACACAGACGTAAAAGATCAGCGACCCGTGTCTATCAGATTAAAGATAATGTTTTTGTTTTATTGTCAGACTTAACGTTACTGTACTGGTCCAGTAATGGTCTGGACGTACCCAACCGCATCAAGTCACATTTTAGCCGAGGGAATGTTAGATGGGCATTGAACGTATTATTAAAATCACAAACGAACAGAATGAGGTTTTTTACCCTCTGTGGCTCACAAAATACAGGGATGATGTGAATTTTAGAATTCTTTAAGTGTGTCCCATTGTAAGTGTTTAGCCAATAAATTTCGGATACATAAAATGAGATGACAGCGGGTAATTAGGAATTAAGATGAATATTCTGTTTTTCGTAAGTCTTCTTTCCTTATCATGTGCATTTCCGTCCCAGTCCAGGAAACAAAAAATACAGGACTCTGTAACTCAAGGTTGGTGCTTACAAATGCTTATTCTAGTAGTTTGGTTTTATTTCATTTAATCAGCAATTTAAAACTGACCTTTTTCACACAGAGTAAATTAATTGTATAAATGTAAAAGTTATCTGAAAACAGAATATTGTTACCTATACTTAAGGTTCATTGATACTCTGATAAGAGGGATAACTTTTAATAGAATAAATGTCTATCATTTCTTTATAAATTTATCAAATTGAAATGTCATTTTTGTCCTATTTGCCCGTAAGCTATTATTGTTTGCATTTTACTTATAAAGTGCAGTTTCTTTTGGAAATCATAAGTGTTAAAGCAGCATTTTATATGATTATGAACCTTAAGGTTCATCGTTAAGGAAGCTCTAAACACTGCTCACTGAAGAGTTCTAATTCCATGGTAGCTTTTTGCAGTTAGAGTGATCTGCCCTTAGATGTAAGACAGAATAAAATGGAATCTACAGTGAAGGACACAAAGTGTACTAGATAAAAGTATTCTTTATAATATAGACCAGGATATAGAACTATAGCTAGTAATAGCTAGTAATTGAAAAAAAATTGCGTGTATTTCCCCAATGTAAGTAAACACCAGTAATTTCTGCTCACTAGGACTTCATTGTCTTTGAACATTTTTCCTGGAGAAATAGGGTAGGTATCCCATGTTGAAAATGAACTAGATAACCTCACTATGCACACCTTTTTACGACATATTTTTCTCCAAATCAAAAAAAAAAACCCAAATGTTTTTTATTAGTGTTTAGAGCTTCCTTAGAGATTCAGAGAATCCAATTCATGCTTAAATTGCACACTATTCCAGTATACTTTGACAGTGAGAGTTATCTTTCTGATCACAAGGTCAGTGAACCTTAAGTGAGTGACCAGTGATGGACAATCTCAACAAAAATGTTTAGATCCGTATTCTTTTCAAATGAGTTTAAAGTAAGGACTATTACAGATTCCCTTACGTATTCGATCAGCTAATCCAACAAACCCATCCTCCACTCTTTTAAATGGGCCAGGAATTTTATTTTCAATCAAAATTGTTTAAGGAATAGTTCCTATAATTTCTGTTTGATTATTTCTTTTAGAATTAGTGCCAATTCAGATATTACTCACACAAGACCATACTCGAAGAAAACGATCGACAAATACATTTCCGGATAAACTCCTCTTTAAATTCACCACCAGTGATGGCGATGTGCGGTTGGATCTGACCAGAAATGATTTGGTCAAAGTTCCTCCAGTTCTCTTGTGGACTGGCGGACGAGTGGTCAATGACACAACCTTTAACTTACAGGTAGCCTTTATGGTGCCATTTTCTTCTTCTTTTTTATTTATCTTTACAATAAGGTTCTCCCACTTGATTTGAAAGTCCGTTTTTTCTTTGTTTCGTGATGATTAGATTGACTAAAGATACGAAAAACCTAACAATTATTTAGGAGGATATAACTTCAGTAAGATAATATAAATACCATGGGTGGATTCATGATTTCAAGTAAAAAAGGAGCGCAAAGTTAAATAGTATCTTGACAAAATCCCCAAAATTCTTAATCTCCTCCAAATATATTGGTTTGTCTTCTGATGTATAATTTATTTAAAATTTGTTAAGAAATCTGTGGGTTTTATTAAACTCACTGTCATATATAAATATAAACAGAACTCGCTAGTCAATATATATATATATATATATATATATATATATATATATATTATGGGACAGGTGCTTTTTCTTGTATTTGGTTTGATTGTTTGTTTTCGGAAAGGGGCATATACCAAATAATTATATTGAATTGACAGCTGTAACAAACCAGTAGGGCGTGAACCGTACGCAATCGTGAAATCACGGACGTGTTGATTTTACATGTATGTAATTTGTCTAAGTAATGATAGAGATCTAACACGTGTATTTTTTGTAGATTATATCTCCGATTTTGTTATAAATTACCAATAAAAATTCATAAAATTAATTTGTTATCATGGCCCCCTAAATATCGTTGAGAAAGTCATTTGGATAAGAAGTGGTATGACATTGCAACATTTCGCTGCGACAAAGCTCAATGATTTAAATTAAAGGAAAAATAACAAATATAAAGCTTTTTGAAATAAAAAAATATTTTTTTTTTGCTGAATATGTTATCCGTATAGAAGCAGGTTGATGTAAAACATTGCTTTTTTCAGAGAGATTTTGCCTTGTATCAAGGCACTGAAATGGGAGCCAACGCGCTGGTGCGTTTTCCTGAAGACGACTATACAAGGTTTGAATTGGTAAGGTACAAATATTATACATGTAACTCAAGAGTTAATGGTCTTCAAGTGACCTTTAATACTATGTACACAGACTCGCTAGTGATATTATCATGTAAAATGTTTTTTTTAATATCAACATTCTCGTAATGATTTTACATATTTTAAAAAAATGACTTGGTATCATAAAGTCATAGCAAACAACAATTATGCATATCCATAGTTAACATATCAGAAGTATAAACACTAGCATTTGTAATCAATATAATTAAATATATAAACCAGTAATTTACAAAAATTGAGAACAATATACTTGGAAGTTGAAAATGTTAAATCTTTTCTCTTAATCTAGTTGGCTAATATATGTCTACCGATTTTGCAATACACTATGTTTCAGCATGCAAACTATATCATTGGGACTGATTTTTACTCCATTGAACCGGTGACGTCCAGAACGAGGCGGTCTGTAAAGATCGTGGAACCCCCGTTCTCCAAGACCACCCCTCATCCTGCAACTATCCGGATCCACAATGTACTAAGACTGGAAAAGGATTCCCTCGACTTCGGGAACGATATGTTTATTATTGGTAGGCAACCCTAGAAACACAAGGGTTAAAAAAGATACTTAGTTTTCGTTCAAAAATCAAAATAGTGAAGATCAGCTACCAGTATCTATAGTAATAGCTTTCGGGTTTTTTACTTCACATCAATCCTTCCTCCTAACACCGTAAAAGTTGCGTCACCATCGTAAAAAAGAGTAATGCTCAATTTAATGTACATTTCTTTCCATTCTATAGAGAACGAACCATCTCCGTCGGAGGGACTGAGGCCACAGAGGGTGATGGAAGGTTCCAGTACTACACCCCAGACACTAGGGCCATTTATCATAGATCCAGGCATGGTAAGTTGTTTATTTTCACCGCCGGATAGATATACACTGTACTTTGTGTGTGTTGTATTGGTTAACAAGTATTTTCCAATACTAGATTTAGGGTTAGGTTTAAGGTGATAGGGTTAGGGTTAAAGTGGTCAGTTTAGACTTAGCGCTAGGGTTAGGGCTAAGGCCTCAATAATGATCATTTTATTAAAAACAACCGGCACGATATAACATTACCCTATGTATGAATTTTTTTTTACAGGGTATCAATACAAGGAAAAGAAGAGAAAGCAATGGTATAACAATGAAGAATAATGTTCTAGGAATTTAGGAATTTGAAAAATGATCCTCGATTTTTTCCCCCTGTAATTTTTTTTTTTTTTTGGCGAATGGGATATTTGACGACCCATATATTATTTCCATGTATGTCAACTCAGGCCCGTAGGAAGCAATTTCACTTTGAGGGGGCACAACCATACATTTTAGTTGTGGGGGGGGGGCACTATCTAGTACACAAATTCTTTGACAAGCAAAAAAAGGTAATCAGAGGTTATTATTGAGGGGGCACAAGCATATTTTAGCTATGTTTTCTATAGTATTCTATATATCGGCAAAATTATTGACTCCCCGTGCCCCCCCCCCCCCCCGGTTCCTACGGCCATGCAACTAAATGCTGGACAAAGCTCAGAAAACGTCAGATTTTTGTATTAATTGTAAATGTGTCCTTCATAACCAGAAATAATGTTCTTGGAAATCTTGCACAGATTTCACAAAGAATCACAGTCAGAACAAAAGAAGTACTAACCAGTTGTATGTGGAATACTTAGTGTGTGTAGACTACGCCAACTTCATCATGTGAGTATTATCAAAGCTAACACTACTTTGGAAATCACATGGTACAGCTTATAAACGTCTTTAATTTAGTTACATTGTACAAGAATCGTACATTTCTGCAGATGGAAGTCCATGTCAAATGCAACCAATGAAGACCAAAGAAATGAAGAAGCCAAAAACGCAATAACCAAATACTATCTCTATCTTGTAAATGGGGTAAGTCAATAACCAAATATTACCTTAATCTTGTAAATGGGGCAAGTCAATAACCAAGTATTGCCTTCATCTTGTAAATGGGGTAAGTTAATTAACAAATATTACCTTTATCTTGTAAGTGGGGTATAAGTCAATAAACAAACATTGCCTTCATCACGTAAGTGGGGTGTCAAGAACCAAATATTGCCTTTATCTTGTAAGTCAGCTACTTTTTATTCCCTCTGTCTTGTTATTACAATAAGTTAAATGTCATTATGGTTTTATCATGGAACCTACATGTATGTGAGTAGAAAAAGATTCGTTACCTTAAAATGAGTAAACAATTAAGTCTCTAAATATAGTTACCAGCTACAGGGTAGATATGTTGTTTGATTACTGACTTAAGTTTGGTCAAAATAGAGGCCATTATATACAAATACATGTATGACCTCTATTTTGACCATAATTAAGTCAGAAATCAAACCCAAATCTATCTTTAAATTAAGGAACTTCAATGACTGTTCCTAATTACTTAGTATGCCACTCCATCATCCTATATTGACTGTTATTTTTTCAGATAGACACCCGATTTAAGACGGCTCAGACCCCTCAAGGCGACTTACGTGTAGCTATAGCTGGAATTGTACTGGCAATGGTAAGGGGGACCTTAAAATGATTGCATCGGCGTTATTTTTATGTAAAAGACAAAATACGGTAATCAAAATGTATTGGGCAATAATTGCGGGTTATCAGGATCTTTTACAAGGTAGACTTGTTGTCTTTAGGACCAGAAATCGTCCAACTGGACAGAGAACAATGTGATTAGTGGGAATAAGGTATATGATGGGAATACCTTGATGGATTTCGCCATTTGGTCGAATGCCCAAAAGTCTGTGTTACCCAGACACGACCATGCTGCCTTATACACGGGGTAAGATGCCTATAAATTTTCCAAGAGATAAAGAAACAGCATTTAAATGATGATGAATATCAATGTTTTCTTTTCTTTATGTATCCTCACAGATATAATCTGGCAGAAACGTCCACGGATGATAGAACTATAGGTAAGAATCTTCCTTTTCTTTTTGACAACGCAACCATTATACTATTATATACCAATGCTTACCAATCTCTGATGTTTCAGGTATTGCCTATCTGTCCAGAGTGTGCAATTCTTACGCAGCATCCGTTAATGAGGAAACATTCAACGCTATCGCAATTCACATTGGTGCTCATGAGCTTGGTCACAGGTGAGGAAATTCCATTTGTCCATATATTTACTTTTAATTTGATAAGTCGTTGTCTCCATTACATACTTCCTTATGCATTTGAAGTTGACCTTTCATGTAACATTTTTCTCTTTTTGTAGTATTGGTGCATCACATGACACAGGGGCGTGTCCTTCCAGTAATTTTAATTTGATGGCGGGTATTTTACCAAATCCCGCCAATCTTAGTCCTGACATGGCGCTGAACACGTACAAATTCTCGGCTTGCTCGAGAGCAGCAATTGGAACCTACGTTAGCGGTTTGCTTGAGTAAGCTGTATCCAGTATATAACAATTCTGTTTTCTGCAAATACATGTAATTACAACAGAAATTCCACAACAACGCTGGTTTAATTAAAAAAATACAAAGCCTTCATCTATTTTACGCATTACAATTTTGTCAAATTGTAATGTTGCTATCGGATGATGGAAAGTATGTTTCAGTTTTCTTTTTCCTTTAGAAATTGTTTGAGTAACATACCACCGTATTTGGATGTGGTCACCCGAGAGAGCCAAGCCTTTACAGCAGACGAACAATGTGCAATGACATATGCGCCATCTGTTGGTTCCACAGTCTGTCGGGTAGTGCTTCATAAACTTGATACTTTAAAACTCAGTTTGTTTCTATCTTGCATAAATAGTTTTTGGGCCTGTACACACACTATAATATACAAAGTTAATCCGGAAAAAAATCAGATAAATTGAATGAACTTGCATCCAAGTGTGAAAGATAATTTAAAACCAAATTATTGGTTAAGAAATTCAAGAATTGGACGTGGGCTCATGTTTTCACAATAGTCTCATTTATGGAACCGTTATAGTTTAATTAAAACAAGAATTATGTGTTCCGTGAATTATATGTGGGATATGTTAATCTAAGTAAATAGGACGTAAAGAAAGTGTCTTTGTTCGAAGCTGAGTTACAACTGATGTGGTCTTGATTTCAAGCATCTAGAAATTATATTCCATATTATCAAAATTTAATTTTATTCAGGAGACGTATACTGGAACTATACTCAAGTGGTCAGAGATTTGTCACAAACTTCGGTGTCGTATTCCCGGAAGTACTTCATGTTCCGCCCATTTTACGTTTGATGGAACCCCGTGTGGTAACTACAAGGTAAATGGACTACTGATGTATTTCACCCTAGTGTATGACTTGATGCAAACATAATTCTGTTTTTATTCTATAATTTAGTGGTGCCAACTAGGACAGTGTGTCAGTTCTACAAAAGCTCTGGATGTGCCAGGTAAGAACCACCACACAAGAATGTTGACCACCTCCCCTCCCACAACTGAATGAGAGAATTGTGGTTGCTAGTTTGCCTCTTTGTTGAAATGAAAGTAAATACATGACATGTATATTTGTTAAGTGTTTCCCCTGAAAAACATAGTGAACTTACCCCCCCCCCCCCCATCCACCCACACACACAAACTGTCACGTTTCCCTCCTTCCATTTCATACGTATTTCGACATTCCAGCAGGAAAAACACAAAATTTGCCAGTCTGCTTCCTACCTGCCTATTCTGTTCGGAAGCCTCTGTGTTGTTTAACTGGTCTTTCTTGTCTTTTTATTATCACGCAATATATCAATCCACAGATAACTGCCCACTTGGTGATGATCCTAGCTATAACTGTGATGCCTCTCTGTGTAGTCAGTACTCGCAAAATGTCCGAGAGGGAAGCTGCTGTCACACTTGTTTAATAGGAACTACAACAACTAATATGCCGACGACGACAACAACACCGATCACAACAACGCTGACTAAAGCTACAACGACGACACCTACAACCACAACGATTACAACAACAACGTCGATTACAACAACGACAACAAAACCGACAACAACAACAACTCTGACTAAAACAACAACACCAACCACCACAACGCCAACAATAACATCACCAAAAACAACAACAACAGCAACTACAAACACAGTGACACCAAAAATGACACTGATTTCAACAACAACACAGACAACAACAACGCCGACCACAACAACACCTATAAGAACAACTTCGTCGACGACAACACCAACAACAACGCCCACCACAACCCCAACTACAACAACACCTACAACAACATCGATATCGACGACAACATCAGCTACTTCAGCATCTACAACAACAACGTCGATATCGACGACAACATCAACTACAACGATAAAACCAACCACAACACCTGCCACAACTACGTCAACTACAACAACACCAAGTACGACGCCCACTACAACAATTATGCCAACTACAACACCTATAATCACAACAACGACAACACCGATAACAATGACAAAACCAACCACAACAACACCTGCAAACACATCAATGCCAACCATGACACCATTAACCACAACTCTACCAACTCTGACTACTACAATGGTAACACCAACAACAGTGCAAACTACTACACCATCATCAACAACAACAATGACCACAAAGCCAACTACAACAATGACAGCAACACCGACTACATCTCCAAAAACTACAATGACAACAAATGAATCACCAACACAGACAACAATGCCAACCACAACAACACCAATGACAACTATGCTGACTTCAACAACACTGGCACCTACAACATCGACTACAACAACTAAACCTACAACAACACTGCAGACAACAACTCCAACCATAACAAGAACTACTACAATACTGACCACAACATCACCACTCACAACACCGAAGACAACAACAACACTGACCATGACAAAAAAACCTACAACATCAATTTCATCAACTCAGACCACATCAACACCCACAACTACACCATCCAAAGCACCAACCACAATATTGCAGACCACAACAACAATGAAAACTTCTACAACATCACCAACACCAATAACACAAACCACTGAAAAAACTCCAACTACATCAACACCGACGACAACAACAACACCTACCAGTACAACCACAAAAACCACAATGACATCAACTGCAATACCTACCAACACAGTATTAACTACAGCAGCTACTACAACAACATCAACAACTACCACAACAACACCGACAACAACAACTACCACAATACCAACTACCACAACAATAACTACCACAACAACACCAACCACAACAACATCAGCAACAACATCAACACCTCCCACAACAACATCAGCACCTACCACAAAGATCACAACAAAACCAACCACTACAACAACACCAATCACGATGACTTCACCTATAACAAAGACGCCAAAAACAACTTTTTCAGCAACTTCAACAGATCAACGAACAATGATCAGTCCCACAACTTTTATACCAACATTACAAACAACAAAACAGACAACTATTGAAACAACAACAGACAGTAGTGATGATGTGATAATCAATTTTATGCAGCAAGCAAACTTCTATCATTTAACAAAAATAGCTTTATTTCAAGCTCTTGTAGCCAACATTGTGTAATTTATAAACTTACTTCCATCATCAGTCTACACACATTTAGACACAGCCAACTTTTTATCTTAATTTAAATACAATTTGGAGAAATTTATAGTTTTGTATGATAATTCTTTCAGTCTTTAATCACTTTGAACTAAAATTGCCCATAAATGTACTAGTATATACTTGTATTTATAATTTTTCTTAATATCAATTTCTACGTCTTTAAAATAAAATGAATTTATGTTTGGTATAAATGCTCAATAATAATGCTGAATAAAGAAACTCTATGAAACTTATCATTCATATTCATACAAGTCATTTAGTATCTGGGGTAGATCGTCTTTAATTGAAAAAAGGATTTGGACCATTCATGTTAATTGCATTTGTTAATACAATTGCATATTCTCCATATTTTCTCTCAAAATAGAATTTGAAATGATAAAATGATATCATTAATTCCAGTTAAGTGTGCCGTTTTGCATCACATCACGATCATTTTCATGACGAGCCAGCATAAACAATTCACGCACCCGCTGTGTGATTGGTCAAATCATTTTATCAACATTGACACGGAAATAGTCTGTTACACGAGCAACCAATCAGGAATAAAAAGAAACTTCCAGTCATAAAGCTTATGGTTAGGAGGTGTGTACTATTTACCTTGAGCGCAGCTGTCATCATAGATTGTGACGTAATGCAAAACGGAATTAGTAATAACCCTAACCCTGACATAATAGAACGATGCAAAAACACAACCTTTCATGACTTAATAAAACGTTAACATCAAACAAAAAGCATAAATTGAATTAGAATGGGTCATTTTTATGCCCCCGTATCGAAGATTCTGGGTATATAGTTTTTGCTCTGTCTCTCCGTCTGTCTATCTGTTTGTCTGCAAAAACTTTAACATTGCCCATAACTTTTGATTGATTGGAGCTATGGCATTCATATTTCACATGTGTATTCCTTGTGACAAGACCTTTCTTTGGGTACCACCATATTTTAACCTTTTGACCTTGGAGCTTGACCCAGTTTTGTAAAATTTTACCGAACTTTAACCTTGGCCATAACTTTTGAACAATTGGTGCTCGGGCTTTCATACTTCACATGTTTAATCCTTGTGACAAAACCTTCACATGTTTAATCCTTGTGACAAGACCTTCCTTTGGATACCAACAACTTTGACCCTTTGACCTTGGAGTCTGACCTACTTTTGACAAATTTTAACATTGGCAATAACTTTTGAACCGCTGGTGCCAAGGCTTTTATACATCACATATGTAATCCTTGTGACAAGACCTTCCTTTGGATACCAACAATTTTGACCTTGACCTTGGAGTTTGACCTACTTTTGAAAATCTTTAACCTTGGACACAACTTTTGAAAAATTGGTGCTAGGGCTTTCATATTTAACATGATTTTTCCTTGTGACAAGACCTTCCTTTGGATACCAACAATTGTAATCCATTTACCTTGATCTTGGAGTTTGACCTACTTTTGAAAAAAACTTTAACATTGGTCATAACTTTTGATCGATTGGTGCTTCAGCTTTCATATTTCTTGTGAGAAGGCCTTTCCTTAGGCACCATTAATTTTTACCTTCTGACCTTGACCTTGATGTTTTACTTACCTTTGAAAAACTTTAACCTTTTCCATATCTATTCAATGGTTGCTGCTAGGGCTTTCATATTTCACATGTATATTCCTCGAGACAAGACCTTACTTTCGGTACCAACATATTTGATTTGCATTTGAGAAAGTTTAATCTTTGCTATAAGTTGCCATACGGGGGCCTCGGTGTTTCATAAACACATCTTGTTTTTATTTGCAACCACTAATGCTGATTTAACAGTCGCAAACATCCATTCTAACGGCTCCGCTGACGCGTGACTGGTAAAACTCAGTTTGCGACCATTAGATCAGCATTAATGGTCGAGAGAAGATAGTTATTCCCTAATTCAAGCAGTTGTAATGGTACATGTAGTTCTTGAAGTTTCCTACAAGATGAGTACACTGTTTACAGAAACCCAGCATTAAATTATTGCTATTGTGATAATGAATCACGTTCATACACCACACTGCAAAGTACAAAGAGGGATAATTATATGATTAGTATTAACTTCTTAACAGACCAGTAACTCACTCAAATTACCCAATTATTTTAACATAAATACTGCATTTATATACAATTCAAGTAAATGTTTCTCTAATGGGGTTATGGGCAACAACATACTTAAGTTTGAATCATTTGACCCAAGCACAATTTCAGTATCTCAATCAGTGACCTACTTTAGAGTCCCTTTTTCCTGTGTGACCCAGAGTCAAGACCATAGCATACTTCTGGATCATGGGGAAACAAACAAGATAAATCCATTCCTATAGACTGGACACAATTTGACCAACAGCAAGTCAGTCATATAACCAAGAGAAAACAAAATATCATCCCCTTTTTGTTGGGGGAAGCCATAAATATGACCTGAATAAATAAAAAAAGAATGCATAGTATTGGTTTTCTGTAATTAATGGCAAATCTCATGTATAACTTAAATATTTAACTCAAGTTTCCCTCATACCTCCTGTAAAAGGGTTAGGGATCCTGAAAAGTACCTGCAGGTTACAACTGTTAATTAAAAATACCGACAAAAATTCCAGGTTACAGAATGGAATGGATTTCAACAGTTGTTGTTCTGTGAATTCAACAAAATACTTCAGTTACAAGTTGTACCAGTCAAGGTCATTTCTGGAAAATAAGCTCAAATGAAGTAAGGCACACTTTGCATACAGTAGTGCACAGCTATTTTAGCTTAATAAACTTACAGACTTCAAAATTAAAATGTAAAAACCAAGTCAGTGTATCAAATAATATATATTTTGTAACAAAATTTCATATACATATGTAATCATATCACAATTATTTTTCAAATAAATTTGAAGATCTACAAGAAATAATAATACATACATGTATGTGCATCAATTGAAATACTAGTAAGTACTGCATAGAAAAATTGGGTTTGGTTTGTCTATTTTAAAATATTTGTAACCTGGTGTTAAAATCAAATGGTTTTTATAAAGATTCTAAAATAAAAAAAAGAAGACATAATGAGTGTAATTGACATGAAATAACACTGTTAAATCATCTGGCATACATAGAATTATAAGTGTGCTTAAAATACACATTTAATACTGGTTAGATTTTGGATTTATGTGTACATTGTCGGATTATAACATTTAAAATGCAAATGAGCAGTGAAAATGAAGAAAAAATATCCAATTGAAAACATGATTAAGCTGCATAACTTTATCTTATGGGCACAATTTAATTAAATCACAAAGCTAGTAACATATCTGAACACTTACTATTGAAAACCCTCAGATGAGTGCACCAATTCAACATTGCACTAAAAAATTGCCCGCAATTGTACATCTTTCAAAATAGTACATATACATGTAATTATGATCAAAATATGCATCATTACCAAAAATGAAAACCCATTTTTATGTACACTACAAAACATTTTAAAGTCATATAACTTTTATTCTAAACAAAGCCTACACTGTTCAACCAAGAATTGTGCATTCAAAAAAATTCAATCCCTAGATGTTGCTATATGATCTTATTTATAATGAATTCACATTTAATAAGAGGTGTACTTAACATATCAAACATGACCTTGATCCATATAAACAAACAGGTACCTCAAAAAAAAATACTACAGATACTATAAAAACTGGACAAAGGAGGCAAGATAAATAAAAGAGAGACAAATCTTTTTTTTTTTAACTTTCTAATGTCCTACATCATATCAAATCACAGTTTGTGGTAATCAAAGAATACAAATCTACTACAGCAATGATTGATTATATTTTTGTATTTACTTGCTGAAATCAGTAGTACAAGTTCATATGAAATAATCAAGAAAATATAGAAAGTATATTTGCAAAACATCATTTCAATAAAAAATTAATATACATTGTGAACATATACAGGTAATATACCTGCAAAGAACTGCACAATTTCTGCTTGTACAACAAGTAATGAATACATGTATAATATAGCTTTGTTTGAATCACTTGTCATCAAATGACAAATAAATATGCCTGATAATATTTTTATGGAATGCAATGGGCACATATATAAACTTAACTAAATGCTCATCATTCAAATACATAGAAATGTTCCACAAACCTAATTCAACATGAAATAATAAGGACTATTGCAGCAGATGTTTGAAATAAATAAAAATATAAAAGCTTATTAATGCAGCTAACATTCTGGCACTATTACTTAACATTAATATGGCAGCTGGTCCTTAAAGGGCCAAGTGATATATAATATTCAGCACTAACAACATATAATGCCTCTACATATGAAAAAATCAAAATGATTTCCTTTTAAATAATACAAATTCACATCTAAATAATTCATCAATCATGCCAAGTTGCATCTAAATAAATACCCAATCATACAATTTGTAGAGAAACAGGGGCACGCTGGACAGACCTTTACACTGAATAAATCCACAAGTTTCTACCGTTAACTGTCAATCTTCAACAATGACATGTTCATTAAATTCTCTTCACTACAGATGATATTTGGTGTGATTTTTCATAACATTTTGTGCCTAATCTTCAGGTGGTCAAGTCCAGCAAGCACCATTTTACATTTCCTGATACGTAACTTTATTGAAGATGCTGGGATTTTATCCCCATCTCCAGTGACGGTTGAAAATGTCCATGACAGAATCATAAATCATAAAGGTAATAGCTACATCTAAACAAACACGACTTAACCTTGGAATAGTGCCTTTGTAGAACCTAAAAAACATAAAATGCACTCAATAATACGAAATCAAATGAAAACTGCAATTTTTTAATACTGATTAATCTCATCTTTCCTGTGCACATTACCAAAATTGGCATAAAGATACAAAAAATAAGAAAATTATATGCACTCACGCTCTTGGTCCTTCATGCTTGAATATCTTAACTGCACAGTCAATTGTTCCCTTGTACTTGTGTGCTTCAAGACCCTGAAATAAGTACGGGAATACAATATACAAAGGGCAAAAACCAAAATTCTTATTGTATGCATTAAGTGTATTAAGGTAAATACATTTAAAGTATAAATTTTAATATCACTTATCACAGTATTTAAATGCAATAATATTGTGAAAAACAAAAGGCCCACAGACCACAGCAATCACCTGAGTGATGCCATTACATTAATAATATACCATTATAATTAATGGTTACTGACCAAATATCAGGAAATATTCTCTTTGTGCAGAAAAGGAGATCAAGCTTGCAAGATTCACATCTGTACAAAGACCAAGGGTGGGCACATTTCCCAATATTCAGTCAATAACTTTTTTATTACATATTTTAACTCCCTACATTTTTTTTCCCCAACCTGTCTAGATTTGCGGTAATAAACATTCTTACAACATTTATTACTGCCAATACAATGGGTATTTATGATGTCACATGTACATGTATGTCATTAAGAAAATACGAAGTCTCCGAGATTTACAGTGAGGGCATATTTAGAGATTGATCACTGTTCATTATCTTCACTTATTTCATGGCTCTGTAAAAGTCCAGGTTCTCTCTATATGATCTACTGAGAAATATATCAAAATATGTGTAGAGGTTTAGGCTATAGGGACTGTGGATGTCGACCTCAGTAGCTCATTAGTAACCTGACTAGTGATACAGGGGTCACAGGTTCGAATCCTAATCCAGCCATACATTTTCCAGTACATGTACTACATATGTGATAAATCTGAATACAGTATACTTTTTATAAATGTTATATTTATCATACCTGTAGTCTCGTTTTAATGACATCTATTGGTGTGTTACCAAATACAGAACAGGCACCTGCCAGCGCTCCAAAAGCCCCAACCACATAAACAGGGACGGGTTTTGTTGGATCTCCCTCTCTGTACCAATGCTTTAAGGATTCCATCACAAAAAACCTAATAGCCTGATTAGATCCTTGTTTTAATATAGTGGGAACTACACCTTGATATATACCTCTTATACCTGAAGGAAATATTTTGCACTTTGAACAACATATCAAGTCCTAGCTAATCCATCTAAAAATAATTTTCCGTAGATATACTAATCAAGAGTGATTTTTTCAAGAGTATTTAAATAAGAGTCGATATTCGAACTAAAATTTTCAAAATTTTTTTAACTATGGCTGAAATTTGTCATCTAAGCAAATAAGACTGATGTGTCAACTGAAATTTATCTTTTAATTCACCTTGTTCTTTTACGATCTGGCTTACTCCGTGGAAGAATCCCCTGTAATGAGGGTTAGCTGAAGTCTGATCGTTAATGAATTTTACTTTTAATGTCTCCATGGGTGTTACTGCTAATATAGCTTCTGATACACCCGCACCTGTTAAAAAGAAACATTACATAGGCTTAGGTAAAAGTCAAACATATAAAAAAAATTATAAATAGTTCATGCTGGTCATTTGAAACAAATACCGATACTCTTGATAATATTGAATTTATTCATTAATTTCTTCACAATAGTTAATGTTCTTACCTAATCCACACAGTACTCGTTTGTGAGGACTTAGATTACCATTTTCATCTACATTAAATCTTTTTAATTCTTCAAATGCCCCAAACCTGGAATTGAAAATTATATAGCATACAAGACATCATATAAAGAATAAAATCTACACTATCATGGTAAAAAAAAAAAGGGGGGGGAAATTTCACACTGGATAATTTTAAAATTTATTTCTCTTTTTCAAACCAATAAAATGTATTAATTTTAAGGTTACATTAAATCAAGTTAAATTTCTTGAAAAAATGTATGTATGTACAAGCATTAATCTCAGAAGTTATTAATCTGTGTATATTTTGGCAGGACCATCAGCTTAGAAGCTAACCAGCATTCAAATCAATACGAGCGAATCAAAAAATCCAGTTTTATAAAAGTCTCGGAGTCTAGTAATTTTCTGTGATTGACGATACCTAATCAAGCCCATTCACCATAAAAGGTCCCAATCTTCAAGTTTTACATCTTCTTGGCCAATTTTATTGATCACACAAACTCCCCTTACCAAGTAAGCATTCAAGCCCAAATACTAAATAGATTTTTCTTGTACCAAAAATCATTACAAACCTCCTAATTGCACAAATTTCCCTCAGAATGAAGATAAACCACACAAAATTGAATACAATGTTGAAATATCTTCTTTTTTTGGTTTGCTTTTCAGTTGTTTACTGTTTTATGTAAACAAATGCCTGAATTTCTCTAGATATATATATCTGAATTCTTGACATGTCGCATTCACCAGACAGATACTAACCTGACTGCAGACTTAGGAATAGACCCGTATAGAAGTACACTTAATCCCCTATAAAGGCCCCTAACTCCATAGTCTCGCACTGTCACTGAAACACAATTTACGGGGCCTGTATATCGTTTCTGTACCCCCGATCGTTCATCTAATTGTAGCTGTGTTTTCACGTATTCTGTGGGAAATGTTATACATATTTCTAATCCTCCTGTGATCCCTCCTGGAAAAAACAAAGATCAACATGAAAGCAATGTAAATTTTGTAACTTGTGATCTGATTAAGGAGGAACAATGCAGTGGCACTATTGCCATAATCATTTTGCAAGCAATATATTTTTAATATCTAATTGTAGCATCATTATGATGTTCTTTAAGAATTGATATTCAGATTAATTATGTATAAGATCTCTAATCAAGACAAGAACCCAGAGATGTTCAATTTAATGTTTACTAACATGCATAAATGTGATGTTTTCAACACACATGTAAAAACATGTATCTAATACTTGATATTGTGATTACTTAACATAAAGGAACTCTTTTGCGTTGGAGGTAGGAAATATCGATTAGCTGGGGGGGGGGGAGGGGCAATGTGCTATTGAACACACTACGAGATCAATCACTGCAGATTTTTAAAGGACATATAAGAAATCCTGGCTTTGAACCCCTAAAATTTAGACAAGCTAACTTTTGGTCTCAGTCACACTTTTACAGAAGGAATTAATAGTGGAAAAATGACACTGAGATCAAAAGTGAGCTCATCTAAGTTTTATGGCTCCGGAGCCTGGTGAAATATCTTGCTAAATGTTTGGTGCACCACGCTGATGAAATTTATGAGATTCTAGTTCTCTTGTGTTACATTTTTGTAGATATTTTAAGCTAAGCCGACTCTTCTAATAATAAATTCAACTGTTTCTTTCTAAATGTTACTTTTGGAAGTCTAAACATTCCGAATAAGATGACTTGCTTTCTGAAGTGAAACCATTGGCAATACATTGTACTTTCGGCATACTTATTGTTAACAATAGGTTATGCCCCAAAAATGACGCAAGATATAGAGCTTTCTTGACTTTATCTCAAAAGAGCGACAGTAAGTTATATAACTCAAGGTAATCACAATACTAAGTATTTAAACTAGGCCATGTACCATTAAAGTAATGAAATGAACACCCCAGAGTAATACAAAGATATTTTGAGAATTAAACTACAGCACCATGAAATAACAGTTAATATTTTAAGTAATTTAAACGATTAATTTAAAAAAAAAAATACTGCTTAGATTGCACAGAAAAATCAATAAACAAAAGGTTTATTTTCATATTATTTCCCAAAGGGATTAGTCAGCAGGCATGTGAATGCCTATGAAAGCCCTCTCCCTTAATTCAAAAATCAAGGGAAAATTGCATGAAATCCACACACAAAAAAATGGATGTACAGTTAAAATGACTGTGCTGTTCCTAAATAATACATCTCTCTCTCTCTCTCTCTCTATATATATATATTTAAACATTATCATTGGAAAACAAGCCTAACATAGTCATATACAAATCCACAACAGAGGTGCTTAACAGTTACCTTCAATAGTTACTTGAAACTTTAAAGTCAATTTAATAAAATATGATTCAATTCAAACTTAAGACCAGAATGAACTTAAACTGTCTTCAACATGCAACTGTAAAATTCTTGCATATGTAAACTACCATATAAGGTACCCCCCAAAAAGGCTAAATACATCTGTTTTCTAGATGGAACATAAATATATAATCCGTATCATAATATTTAGTAAAACTTAAACAAACACAAAATATTTTGATAGAAATCACTGGCATATTGTATCAAGTATTCCACTGTAGTATGATAAACATTCCTTTAGAAAAAAAACATTTCTATCAATTTTTTTCCCCTTTCTTAAACTGCCATTAGAAATTCATTACTAGAATATTGTAACACCTCTACATTGTAACTAATAAATCATTGCTCTAAACATTGGTTTAAAAAATTCATTCTTTTTTTAAACAGTTAAATCTGACAGCCTTGCTTCTCAGTTTGTGCTGTTTCTAATTGATTAAGCAATCTTTTCTTCTCTAACAAATATGGATTATCTTGCCAGGCTCCTTGTCAAAAAATCAATTTGCAAACTCCATTTGTCTGAATTTGATGCATTGACATGAAAAATACAAGACATTTACTGGGTATAATATCTCTATGTCTTTAGAGTTTAAAGATTTGTTTTACTGCAGTGATTACAATGTAAAGCTAATTATACTGTGGCCAGAAACTGTGTTTTTATAATAACATAAAATTGCAAAATTAACAAAATTTAGATTTTTGCTACTGCAAAATTCCTCTATATTAAAATATATCTTTTTCTGTAAGACAAAAACATTTTTACAAATCTAATTAATTTCATGCACCCTCTCTTTTGAAAATGTAAATATGTTGTATAATATGATAAAGTATGTGACATATTATAGGTCCAATGGGCCAGGTACATGTATAATGTAGATCATTATTTATTGTAATTACTATATACACATGTCACTATAATATAATGTTTACTTGTAAATGTTCTTAGAAAGGGTTTCCTTAAGTGTATCTTTATGTTTTTATGAGGATGTACTATGATGTACATATGAAGTGGCAGTACATTTTATTACCTGAATTATAATATAAACCTGTAACAGGGTTTTCCCTAAGAATTGAAATAGAAGGGGACATTTAAGAGGTAGAAGGGGATCTGGGGTTCCTCCCCTAATGTGGAGTTTAGGAGGCATACCAAAATAACTGGGGGATCACATCATTATAGAAGGGGAAATTCCCCGGCCCCCGGGTCTTAGGGACAACCCTGTGTAATATTTAGCATTGTACTTGATCAAAGACAAAATTTGGGTATAGACAAAAATGATTTTGTTTTGTGACAGGTTTTCATCTATAAAATTATTAAAGTGAGAATATCCACAGCTGCTGAATTTTCATCCTTCATAAATCAAACAAACGTAGTACTTAGTCAGATCGTGTGAATTCTCATTATTCAGATCAATGACTGATCTAAACACTCACTTAAGAGCAGGAATTATCTTTCATAACAAAATGAATCAGTTTACTACATGTCTTAATTATGTATAACAATTTATTTAAATTATGCATGACCTGCGATGAGTTTTCTCTGCTTAAAGTGGTCTGGGTAAATGCCATATATCTGGTAAAGATTTAACTATGCTAAATGATGAAAACTTTCTTAAGATATTAGTGCCAGGATCAATACCACAATGTATTCCTATCTAGTTTCATTGTCACACAATCAATAGCTTCACAAAAGACATGTCACCTTTTCCCCTAAAGAGACTGTAGTATGGTTAAACAAATGTATGTCCTAGCTGGTTTAAACTTTATTCTGTAAATAAAAAAGGATTAAAATTGTAAATTAGAAATGATTCTGTACTTCAAACTGACATACAGGTCTGTGACAACTAAATTCCTTATTTATATTAAAGAAGAATGTACATTAAAAAGTACTTATTAGAAGTTGACAATACTACCGGCATCTATAACTTATCAACTTTGTACAAGTGTTTACAAAATTAGCTTTTGCACTTGTTACTCCTGGTAGTCAGTACTATAATACGCACTTGCGATGAATTTTAAATAGGGATGTCAACGAATAGTCGACTAGTCGACCATCAGTCGAATGGACCGACATTCGAATAACGAAACGACATTCGAATAAATAAATTTCAATAAAAGGGTGATAAAGAGATGGAATTCTCATCCTAAAATTGAGAAACCGGCCGTCTTTCCTCAGACACAGTCAATAATTAAGATAATTTTCCTCATTAAAAACTGCTTGCTTTATACGTACTAGCAAGTACAGTAATTAGAAATGCTTCACTTCCGAGAGTATTATTTGTCAATTAATGTGTTGTTTTTGTAATAAAATTAGCTCGTTATACTGCGCTTTCTTTGTACAATTATTAATGGACTTGATCTCATAACATGTACCCATTATAGCCATGACATGTTTGGACACTAAGATAATTATTATAAAATTGATATTCTTTTATATATTTTAAAGACATTTTGATAGTTGGTACAAAAAGTATATTCAAATATTTAACAACACAACATTATCACAGATTTACCGTGTGTGCCCCCCCCCCCCCCCTCTCCATTTTAATAAGCTTTAAAGAATATATCGTACTGTCATTTCTTATGCTTCCTAAAAAAACGACTTTACAGATCGATTTATGAACATGATTGATGGGGAAATCATACATTTTAGGTCCATGTGAACATTTGTGTGTAACTTTTGATGTTACTTTTTAATAGATTTAAGGAAAGGAGATTTTGGGTTAAATATGTCATGTACCAGTGAAGTTTGAAATAAAATTTTAGTTTCCGAAAAAGTTTCGAATATATTTGACTATCGTTCGAATAATGCAATCGAATATTCGACTACAGAAAATAAATATTTTGACATCCCTAATTTTAAATGATATTTGCTATATACAGTTAGTGAGGTGTGCATATACGTTCATAATTCATCAGACTCCATTGTGAAACATAACATTGGCACTATTTATTAAAGCTTGTAATTTTTACAAGTGCATGCAAATCCCAATAACTAAGTACAGGAACATTTAATATACACATGTAATAAAACTACATGTAAAATATCGTACAATCATTATATCCATGATTTGAAACATTCCAATATACATGCCTACTAATGTGTAGTTCAATGTACTGAATACTTTATACCTCTAGAACAATTCAAAGATAAGAAGTTATTTTCAGAGACACTTCAGACAGTTACCTAGCTGAATTGTCATAATAAGATTGTTGGAATTCATGTTCCTACTACAACTTCATTATGCACAATAACCTGGCAGATTTAAAATCTTTCTCCTTTCAAATTGTGTGAAAGAGAGTCAGAAGCATGAAGATATCTAGTTTCCTGACCATTGTCAGCATTATTTGGGGGTATTCTACTCAACCAGGAAGTCATTCTGTCAGTATACCCACAGTTCTCCTAAGGATGGGTATAGATATTTCAATCCATTCAGTTTAAAGTTTTAAAAATAAACAATTTTTCAGTGTAATGACAAACTTCCTAGAAACCTTCTTATTATAGACTTTTAGTTGTACAATTATACAGTGGTCTCATGCCAAATGCACATCAACTGTGGATTTCGAAGACTATGTCATGAATTTTTACCTGAAAAACAGTTAGAACACTACCTCACCCATTCACATCTATAAACACTCATATATTACACCAACACACAGGAACTATTGACAATGTACAAACAAGACATTTCCAAGTGGGTGTAGATCTACATTACCAAAAACTATTAAAAACCACTGATAGACAGAAGTTACTTTAAGTAATTAAACAATATATGTTTATTTTAATTGGATAATTTTATACATGTATATCCCATCTTCTTATTGCCCATTGTTTTGCTGTATTCATGACTATGCCAATTAATGTATGATGGTGTTGTCAACAAAATGAACTGAATTTAAGGGGATCAAGACACAGACATACATGTAGTTTTTCTTAATCAAGTTAAGTATGTATGCAAGTATGTATCATTAGAGACATGTTATGAAATTTTTTTAGGCATATTTATGAAGAAACAAACCATTTCTGAATCATTTTGCCAATTGCTTGTCTGCTATTTCCTCTTATATCTGGACACAACTATAAATTAAAAGTTGTTTCTGGCCTTTGTGGTCTATATAAATTAGATTAACATGAAGGATTTAACTAAGAGCAGAAATGTCGTTGAATGTCAGAGCATCTAAGAGCCTGTGATAAGTTTTAAGTAAGAGTGGTAGCCCTTCTATGAAGTATCCAAGACAGCATACTGAAAATACAGTACTCTAAATAGTGATCTCATCAACAATAAGCTGGGAGGTTCTTTAAGGTAGTTTGTGACAGTACATAAGTTATATGTTAGTTACATGTGAATATAAAAAAAATTTAAGGATAAATAACTAGAACAGAGTCTTCATAATTAAGCTACCAGTAAGTGGTTTAAGGGGGGGGGGGGGGGGGAGGGGGCATTCCCCCACCTACAATTCTTACAGTGTCATAGCATATTTTGCAGGCCATAGAAAGCACCACCATGTCCATGATTATACATTTACACATGATGATTCTGTTAGGAATACTTGCATAATTTTTATCTTGGTTCTTTGTTTTTGAATTCAGGGATATATTAATCATGTTTTTGGTAAAATAAACAAAAAAGGAAATTTATTACCTCAAGGGGAAAATATCAAGTATTGATGGTAGATTTTATCTTAATATTAGTTAACTTTTTGCATTAATAACTATCTTTTAATTATTACTAAAAATAATTGACAAAATAATCATACTTTTCTGATAAAAAAAAAGTTTAAGAAGAACATTATACATTTATTGACTGGGTTCGAGGGCAGCATGTTTTCGTCAGACCCAAGAACCAAACTGTTTGCCTGAGGCCATTAGGTCGAAGGCAAACAGTTTGGTTTGAGGGGTAGACAAAACGCATTTTATCCCAAGAACACAGTAATGTAAAGAAATGTTTTGTTCTACCTTTATATTTTTGGTGTTGACATATTGCATTTATCTTGTGCTGGCTTCCATGATGTAAATTTCCTTTACCTGCACTAAAACTTGACCAATTTCGTCACTGTCAAACACCAAAAAATGCAAATAAGATTTAGCTAATCCTGTTCTCAGTGTGATGTAAGCGGTCCAATATCTCATCGACAGATCCAATATCTCACTCTGCAGTCAAACATCAACTTTTTTATGACTGCTCAGTAAAACATTAGAAATGTTAGACTTTTTTTTAGTATAGATTTATATAGGAACCAATTTTTAAAGGTATAACAATTCATGATTTTTATTTTAAGTAAGAATATATACTGTATATTTTTTTTTAAATATTTCAAGTCTTTGAAAAATAATAACATTTTTATTAATTTGATGAAAATGTTTTATCAACTGTATTACCAAAAACATACACTATAAATCATAGATTTATCTATTTTTGCAATCGTCATGGCATTTTGACAAACATGAAAAAACGTGTAAATCTATATTTAGAATCAAAACATAAACACAACACATGCTCAGCTCCACAGTATGATGCAAGATGTCGCCACCAACTATCAGTCACTATTTTTACAAGGATTAATTTTAAATAGAGGTCCAAGGTCCATGAACAAACAGAAAATATATGTCAGGGGCTCCTTACTGGTCATTGAGATAAGATAATTATGAGGGTGTTTTCCAACGATACGACCTACTTCACACAGAGTTTTCGTAAACCCTTTGCCTTTTCCCACTTACCTGCAAGAATTGACTTTGTTGCTTTAGCTAAATTAAAGCTATTTGTAGGAGGTGCAGTGATATTTCCTGCTAATGTCCTCTTTTCCTGATTTTTCTGTCTTTGCTCGTTGTCCATTTTGTCCTTTAAATCTTTCTTTGCTCACCTAACGCAATAGTGTACGCGTGTATCCTCTCCCTAAGGTATCATCACGGGAAATGACATCACGCCACGAATCTCGAGAACCTAACCCAACTTTTTGCCCAATCAGCGCACGGCACAATGTTCTCGCACGACGCGACTGTCCTCGAGCAAACATAGTGCTACTGAAACCAATATTGGTACAGAGGCTCATGTGAAGATTTCCAGTTCTTCTTAAATAATATAAAATTTTATTATCATTCATATACTCAACTTCCTGCTTAAAATAAACTGGTCGTGCGTTGTGCATATAATTTATCCGAGTACTCGGCCATGCAGTAGACTTTGAACTATATTTATTTTGCATGAGTAAATAACATGATGAAAATTATGTTCCAAGGAGTATTGATGTAAATGTTTGGTTTGAACATATTTTATTGTACTTTATAATTACAAAGGGTTTGAGCACAATTTCTAAATACTCATTACGCCCTCTGTCTACATGTTTATAAATTTTCAATGAACAAAAGAGAAAAGACGTTCATTCTCTGCAGTATACTCAATGAATCTATCCCCCATAAGACGTTTATCTAAAATGTTAATATAAATTTATCTAATAGTAAAAAAATATTGATAAATTGTTTTCTAGCTTTCACATACATACTTTGGATATATTTAAAAAAAAAAATAATGATAATTATATGTATCCTCTAGCTACTTTACCACATGAGAATAGAGAACTCGTGAGGTCATTATTCAATACACAATTATGACGAAGTCTGATTTGAAGAACATCAAGTCGCCTGTTACCATAAGTTGTGTAAATAGCATATGATACCATCGCAAGATATTACAGACCACTTCGAATTTCATATTATAATAATGAGCATTTGTATATAAGGCGAGTTTAAAGGAAATTTGATTTCCCTGGAAATGTCTCTCTCTTTTTTTCTTTTTTTAATCCTTTCCTAGGATGCACACATAAATTTAAAGGATTTATCGCATGATCTTATAGAAATCGTAATTTTATGAAAAATATTAAATATTATCTACAACCTTATCTATTAAAAGATCGTTCCCAAGCTCTACAAAATAATGTCTTTCTGGCATGTTTTTTTTTTTAATTTTATTTTCAATGCAGATTTTTAATGATAAATAGAAAATATTATTTGGATAACGTTAAAAAAATGAAATGAAAATTATTGCACGCAATAATTTCAGTTCAGACTTCATTTTGAGAGTAATTGGTCTTGGCAGAGGGACGGTCATCCTAAATGTTAAGAAGTTGCCACACTACTTAATTCACATTAACTGAATATACATTTGTTTGTCATGCAAGCATTTTTCTTCATCCAAATATATAAGCCACATGAAATAAGTATAGCTATTTTATTAGCTCACCTGAGCCGAAGGCTCAAGTGAGCTTTTCTGATCAAAAGAGCTAAATCCACGAAGTGCCAAAATCGGCCCAGTCATCAAAATAAATGAAACTTTCTCACATAATACTCTAAGATTTGTATGTTGTAAAACAATTTATTTTTAAACAATATCTTTTCTGGTTTTCTTTTTACAGACGTTTAAACTTAGTATTGTTTTACTTATCAAAACTATCACGTCATTACGTTGACGTTACATACTTTAATGTTGTGACGTTGACATTTTGTATAAAAAAGTAACACATGTACGTTAATGGAATAAAATTCACCAAAATATGCTCTTCTTTAAAATTTTAGGAAAATTTAATAATGATTTTTTTAAGATGTTTTGAAAACTTTTGGGTTTATATTTAAATTGAAGCTATTTGTATTTTAACGAAATATTTATTTACAACATTTGTCTCGTAAAATCGTGGTTATATGTAACACGATTTAAATGAAAATAGGGGACAGATTAAGCTGAAAATTACAGCAAGTGTTAATCTATCATATTTAAGTTGAACTGAATTTTGTAGTAAAATATACACTTGTAGCCATGGATAAGGATTTTATCGTTCTTAAATGTGTTGTAGTATGGTCCTATGGCGTACAAACAAACAAAGAGGTTTTATAAAAGAATGCACAAGACTTAGTGCTCTTTAATAACGAATACATAAAATTAAAAAAAAAAAGTTGCATTAAAAATGAATATGTTTGAAGTGACCATCTATTATATTGTCATTCTGAAGATTTCGCTGCACTTTCGTAATTTAAAGCATTTCCCGGACATTTGAAATGAATTTGTATTAAAATACATGTACATGAAGTACACGAAAAATAATGACGTTTTAGGGCTTTCCACAAGGCATTATGTTTAGGAAAGAAGCCACTACAGACTTTGAACAAGTTAAAACTGATGCAAAGCATCAATCTAATTAAAATTAGATCTTTGATCCGCTCCAATAGATCGCTGTGTAGCGATCTAGTTGGAGCGGATCAAAGATCTAATTTTAATTAGATTGGCAAAGCATCAAATCGGCAGCAAAAAAAAGTGCATTTTAATTTTTTTACAAATAAGAGTTCAAAGAAAACACAAGATTTTCGAAGTATTTGAATTTCAAAACGGAACATGAAGTTTAAAAAAAAAAAAACGAAATGGCATGTATATCACTTTATTCAATTGAAATTACTTAATCAAAATAAAATTCACTAATTAATGATAAATATGTTATATCATCAAAGTGAAAAGTTAATCTTATATACGAGATCTCCAAATGACAAAGAGGATAACCTTTCCACGTGATAATAACTTGGATCATGCCGATGATTTCTGCAGACTATGCTGCACATCGCGATAACAGACAAAACAATAAATGTGAAGTGTAGAAAAAAAATATCTCAGCGTCAATTACAGCTACAGCATATATAAAACATTTTTTTAAAAGGAATTATTTTTATTTATGAATTTTGGCACTGTAATTCACATCCACAGAAATGAAAATGATTCACTTATATATCTCACACACTCCCCTATTGGGGAGTACTATTGTAACCCCTTTTAATAAAATCATAAAGTAATAATAATCTGGTGAATTGAAACATAATCTCAACAACTCAGACTTTTATATAGTTCAAAGCCAGTTTTAACATTTTACTCATAATTTTTATATATATTAAGAAATTATTCAGTCGAGCTGCTAATAACGTTTCGTGTCTCCATGTGCACTTTCTAACACAACCACAAATAGATAGGCGATAATGAGTATAGAAGACGATGAAATAATCATAATATCGTATACATATGGCGTATGAGATTTTTAATACTCGGACTTTTTCTGATCGGGACTTTTTGTAAACAAAAAACAAACAAACAAACAAAAAAAAAAAAACAAAAACAACAACAAAACAAAAACAACAACAACACGGAAACAGCTACCGGCAGTAGTGAATGACTATCATTACAATCCGTAGATTACTCATTTAATTCAAAGAAGTAAAACTACCGTCCGAAGCATTAATTGTCTATAATGAGTAGCACATTATTGCATTGTTCACAGGTATTACGTATTGTCTGAAAATTGGAGAGAGAAAAAATAACAATAATACATTCGGGACATACATGTATACATTTTTATCATACAGATTGAAAAAAATTCAAAACTGCGATTGCATGGATTTTTCCACACTATACATACAAGGATTAATATAATGTCATTGTATAATTAATTCATTTAATACCACTTTCTTGTTTAAATGACACTTGTCTAGTAATTGCCAAATTGGTCGAACTGTTCCACCTATTAAAGTTCATCCAAAATTGAGAATGAGTGAGGGTGGGAATCCCAAATTCTCCTTCCCCTTACCGCTGTCTTATTTCTGTAATAGCCCCCCCCCCCTTTATGAATAATTTACACTACCATGCTTGCTAAGCTTGGTTGCCATCTCTCCCTTAGTCCTGCTACATTTAAGAGGAGTAACTCAAAATAGAAAGGGGTAGCAAGTAGCCTCCCTTTGAATTTTTTTTTCATATGCTGGCTAGGTCACAGAATGCAGACGATGCTGAAATTTACTTAAAGAGTTGTCACTACCTTGATAGTAAGTTATTCGTTTGTACAATGTATTTGTTTTATAAAGACCTATCACAAAAATTACGAGTACACACGATCTTTAAAATCGTAGTCTAGATTTAAAATCAATCTATTTTGTTTATTTGATGTCAACTCGAATTTTCTAGGTTCTATATTTCGTAACATGTTATGGGGTCTCGGATCTGAAAATGTTTTCACTAATAAACATTAATCAATCGTTTGTCTTACAATGCCGACGGCAATTTCTGAAACGCCTGTTAGTATGCAATATAATCTAACGTTAACCATGTTTATGACGTTTGTGATGCCTGTCGATGCTCATCTTAGCTTCGCTAGCCAAGGGTTTCTGATCTGAGAGTCCCTTGGATAGCGAATATGGTCGCTGCACTATAACTTCTCGACATACATAATTTATGTTTTGTAAGGTAGAAAAACAATCATTATATGTACGTCCTGGAAGTTGCATCTGATGTAATCAACTTGTATCGTAGCTATTTCGACTCCGCCACTGATGTACACGTTTTTCGGGTGATCTCCCTTTGATTAGATCTACATAGTGACCATGGTGACGAGGAGTCGGTAGTTGCAAAAAAAAAACCAAAATACAAATAAATGGGCTAGGAATAATTATTTTAAACATTTCAGCATATTGATGAGTTTAATAGAGATCAGCTACGTGAAGAAAAAGTCTTGGGTCAGGACTGAGGCACGTAGTACACACAAGTACAAAAAGTCGACATTATAATTGCATCTGCATGCGGTCTCCTTTAACAAGAGTTTTTCGTACTTTTTTGCATCACAACACACAAAACTAGTATTAATTGTAACGGGGACCGTTACAGATGTTCCCCAAACTCTCCCCAACTTCCTTTTGGTGTCTTATTCCCTGTAAGCTTCATTAAATAAGGCAATCAAGTATATTGTTTTTTTTACGCATTACATGCGCGCGCACTGGCATGCATGTACAAAATGACCATGTCAACTTGTCTATACTTTCAATACATTTTTATATTCAAATTTCATCAAAAGATAAAAAAATTCGGCTATATTAAGTATATCTGTCATTTAACGCTTTGCAAGCGCGCGCACGTGCAT